TTTTTAAATCTAGATCTTCACAAATTTCCTGTCAAGTGCAATGATTCATGCGACTCGGCCTTTTGTTGTGAATGAATGGATTCAAACAAAAATCGAAGGATATGAAGTATCTGGCACTGTTGAGGTTTGTATTTGAGATTGAACATTCATGCACTAGGGTTAACTGACAGTTGGAGGAAGACTAGAGAAAGATATTAATGCTTTTTCTTTTTTTTTTGGGTACAGATATTATGCATATTTGTAAACTGGTAATAATGAAGACACGAAACCATGCAGTTACATGACCAATTTTATTAACATTTGTTTGCTGAAATTATAGATTACCATAGTAATCTGGGACTCTTTTGTTGTGTGTAGCATGTGGGTTGGTGGTCACCAACAATTGTTAGAGGTGAAGATCGTGAAGCAGTTCACATTCCAAACCACCAGTTCACAGTGAATGTCGTGAGAAATCTCAGTCAAAAAACTCATTGGCGTATCAAAACTCACCTTGCTATCAGTCACTTGGATGTCCATAAGATAAATGTAAGGAGTAAGATTAACTATTTCTTCAATACATAAGATTAAGGAGTCAGATGATCTCAGTTCAATCTCTGACTTTTGGTCCTCTCCTCTTCTGGTTTGATGGCTGGTCTGGTTGTCAGAATATTGATGTAATTGCATGCATGCTGAGTGTGTTACTTGTTGGTTTCCCTTATCTTTGTGTAGAATATTGTTGCTGACATGCGCAAAGTCTTGTCCAAGAATCCTCAAGTTGAGCAGCAGAGGTTGCATAGAAGAGTATTTCTGGATAATGTTACTCCTGAGAATCAAGCTCTTTTGGTTAGTGTTAAACAATTTGACGCTGGTAAAATTATTTACTACATCCACATTGTTAGTCTGTTCATAGGTGCTAGTTATTTATTGATTTTATTTTTTTAGATATCGAGTTAATTTATAATTTATGTGGGAAGGATACACCAGTCTTGATATGGTTCCCAAATGAAGAGCTATGTAATGTATATTCTGAAGATATGTAAGAGCTGTCCATTAATGTTTTTGTTTTATTATTTAAGGGAGAGAGAGAGAGTACATAAACCTAAAACCAAAAAAAATACTGTTGTTGGCACTCCAAACTAGTCATCCTGCTTAAATATTGTAAGTAATTTTTTATTTGAAAATCTTATATACGTATGCATAAGTGTTCATACAGTGAAGCAATGAGCGTGTGTCCATAGGCTCATCAATAAAATTATATTTTTAAATATTATTGTCCTCACAATTATATGTGTTTTAACTTTGAACTACATACATATGTGTACATAAGTTTCTTATTTTGTGCATATTGCAGATCCTGGTTTCCTGTTTTGTGAAGACATCACATCATGAAGAGTATCTATGCGTCAAGGTAAGAGCATTTTGATTCAGTAGAGCTGTTCTACCTTCTAATAGCTGACTTCAGTTTACCATAATTAAGCTAAATTATAATATGCCAATGTGGAAGAAAGATGATAAAATATCTTAGCCAATTAAGTAGAAACTGTTTTCTTACAATGAAATAATGCATGTTTCAACCCATACCTTGCATGTCAACAATTTCGTACTTGAGACAAGTTTAGTTAAGCCTTAATTACACCAATGCCCCCTGAAACTTTGGTCAAATCTCAGTTTGCTCCCCAAAACTTAAAATGACCACTTTCATACATTGACCGAGGTTTAGTGACCCACTTTGCCCCCTGTCGTCAACTCCATCCAAAACTCTGTTAAAATTGATGACGTGGCATGGGTTTATTGGTAATTTCATACACAGATCATTACACCAATTAAGTGGGTGACGTGGCAAGTGGAGCCCACCTCTGCATAGTTAAAAAATAAAAAATAAAAAAATTTCTAATAACTACAAATTTAAAAAAACTTTAGAAAAAAATAAACTCAAAAACCTTCCTCCAATCCTCCCATCTATGCACCCCAAACCCAACCCACACCCATCTACAGCTGCCACCACTCCACCATCCCTTTCCACAAACCCAACCCCACCCAGCACTTACAACCACTCAGCACGACAGTGGATTGATCTTCCCCCAAAAATCCCCAAATCAAAATTTGCCAAATATGAAGAAGACAACAGCGTTGGGTGGGGGCAAGATCTGGTTTTCTGGGGTTGAGCCAAGCAGATCTTGGGGTGGGGCACGATTGTTTGGGGGTCAAAGTTGTATGGGGCAATTTTGGGTCTTTAAATTGTATGCTCCTCGCTTAATTGTCTCTAGGTGTGGCTGGACCTGGCAGTCCATCCATAGCAAAGATTGAGTAAAGATTTGATATCTGCATATATTTATAGGTCTAGGAAAGGGATTTTCTTGTTCTTTTTCTTGTGGGGTTATGAGGTCTAGGAAATTGACTCATTAAGAAGAACTGAGGAATATTAAAAATTGAGATCTGCATATTGAGGAAGGAAGAGATCTGCATGTATTCTAAGAAATTAAAAACTAAGAGTGGTTTGTTGGAGAAGAAGGAAGGTGATGATTGACGAAGGACCATAAAAAAAAACCTACATTCCGATTTCACGGAAATGGATTTGAGTCTTGACAAACACTTCAGAGAATCTAGATTTTATTTTGTATTTCTTTCTTTGGGCCAGACGCTTTAGAGGTTTGAGACAATTATTGTGTTAACGGTAATGCAATCCTAATCCAAATATAAGGATTTGATGGATGTATTAGAAGTTTTTTATGTTATGCTACATGATGAAGTAAGCAAGCAAAAGAGAGTATAATGCGAATGAAAGAGGAGAGTCGTCACCCTCTTAATGTCGGCTCCCTAGATATATTTATATAAAGCCATCTTTGAGTTAATTTCATAAACCCCATTTATATTATGATTACACTATGATCCATAACTTACAACACTCCCTCTCAAGCTGAAGGATAAATAATTGTCATGCGAGAGAGTATAATGTGAATGAAAGAGGAGAGTCGTCACCCTCTTAATGTCGGCTCCCTAGATATATTTATATAAAGACATCTTTGAGTTAATTTCATAAACCCCATTTATATTATGATTACACTATGATCCATAACTTACAACACTCCCTTCTCAAGCTGAAGGATAAATAATTGTCATGCCAAACTTTTTACAAATATTAGAAAGATTTCCTTTCCCTAAATCATGTTAAGACCAAAAAAAAAATCATTGCTAAAGATATCTCCCGACTCATCCTTAGACCTGACATAAGATGTAGTAATATGTTTCTTCATAGTCCTTTCTCTCTCTTAGTAGCAATCCATGGATTCCATGTCAATATGTTTCATAACCTCATGAAATGTCAAATTACTTGCAATATACATGTAGAGTTGAAATATTGAATTACTTGCCGTCCATTTCTTCACAGTCCTATCTCTCACAAAATAACAATCCTTGTCAATATGTCTCATCCTCTCTTGAAATATCAAATTAGACTTTGATTATCACGAAACACTCTCATAGAGTGCTGTCACGTGCACCCATTTCTTGTAGAGAAAAAGGTTTTCACCTACAAAATCTCACATGTCGTGTGAGTTGCCCGTAATTGGCCTGTAGATGATGTCACAACCACACTTATCTTTTTTACTTCCTAAGCCACTACAACAACAGGAGATAGATTTACCCACGTAGACACCTGCCCAGTCAGCATCTGAAAAACTAATAACTTCTGGGTCATTTAAGAGCTCCCCTGCTTCATTATCAAATTTGACTTTAGGATCCAAAGGAGTATCAATCGGCTTAGCTCCCAAACACTCCTGTCTCATTTAATAGATCAATATATTTCCTTTATTGGAGACTTACTCCCATTTGGGATCTAGAAATCTCTGCTTCGTCCGAAAATTGTATTCAGATAGGTTTGAAGTTCATTCATGGATGCCCAAGGTGATAATGCCATTGGTATGCAAAGACCTAACACTTGAAACACCAATAAGATAATAGGGGACCATATACCATTCCCCGATAAGTAATGTATTTCCTCTGAGATCCTGAATAACACAAAAGGTGGCATGAAAGATGACACAACAGTTAACGGCTTTATCAGTCATTTACAGATACAAGAAAATTAACAGAAAAATGAATAAGATGAGGAGGGATTCTTTGTGCCATTACCAATGATGGCACACAAATTGCCATCAACAAAATGGCAGAATGAATATGTATTCCTGGCGTACTCTGATTCTGAAATCAGATTGGTACTTGCCTGAATGTGTGTTCCAGATTCATTGTCTGGCAATATAAGTCTGACCAGAGTACATCATTGTTTGTTTCCCACTTCATATAATAATTGTACTGTGACCCGTAACTCCTAAGTCTAACTATTACAATGCATTTTTACATCATGATTTCTTTCTCTGTGAGACTATTGCTCATTTTACGTATCATGAATGTTTGAATGAACAGGAAGCTATACTGTTGGATCTTCTCAGAGTCATTAGCCATCATAAGGCCCGACTTGCCACACCAATTCGTACAGTTCAGAAAATGTATAGTGACACCGACTTGGACAGTGTACCATTTGCAGACTCAATATATAACCATTCTGGAGTAACATCCAGACGCCCACTCCTACTGATTGAACCCTCATACAAAATCAATGGAGAAGATAAAAAAAGAAGCCGTACGCAAACTAGTGGAGAGCGAGATGGGAAAGCCACAATGCGGCCAGCACCTGACTCCAAGGTCAGAGAAACACCAACTTCTGACACCAAGGCAGATTCTAAAGTTGGAGCAACACCAGTATCTGACTCCAAGACCAGAGAAACACCATTATCTGACTCCAAGACCAGAGAAACACCATTATCTGACACCAAGGCAGATGCCAGGAGTGGAGAAATGCCAAATTTAAACACGAAGGAGGGTTCTAAGGGTGCAAAATCATCTATTTCTTATCCCCAAGGTGACAAAGAAACGGGGAAGTCAACATCTAATTCTATCTCCAAGATGAATTCTAGAGACACTGAAAAGTCTGATTCTGATTCCAAAGCAGCAGGCATAGTGTCGAACACATCTAATTCTGTCTCCAAGATGAATTCTAGAGACACTGAAAAGTCTGATTCTGACTCCAAAGCAGCAGGCAGAGTATCTGATAATTCGACGCAAAATATCTCTGATAGAAAGCAACTTAAGACTGCAAGTTTAGGGAATGTTATTCCGAGCACTATTAATAAACCTACATTTTCCTCATCAGAAGGTGGTGCTGACAAAACAAGTGGGTCATGGGGAAGTCAACATCTAATTCTATCTCCAAGATGAATTCTAGAGACACTGAAAAGTCTGATTCTGACTCCAAAGCAGCAGGCAGAGTATCTGATAATTCGACGCAAAATATCTCTGATAGAAAGCAACTTAAGACTGCAAGTTTAGGGAATGTTATTCCGAGCACTATTAATAAACCTACATTTTCCTCATCAGAAGGTGGTGCTGACAAAACAAGTGGGTCAGCGGCATCTCCAGTGAAACAGGAAGGTGAAAGGATGCCAGTTCCAGAGCCACCACCGTCAAGGCCTGCTAGAGAAGAAAATATAGTGCTTGGTGTTGCTTTAGAGGGCTCAAAGAGAACCCTTCCTATCGAGGAGGGGATGGCTTCCCCTTCGCCTCATGTAGCGGCAAATGATTTGGCATCTAGCCGCAAAGGAAATGCATCTCCAATTGCTGATAAGGGTAAGAAAAATTATCAGGTTCCAGCTGCACCGGGTTCAACATCTGGTAGTGATTGAGTTTAGGAAGATAAAGGGAGTCGTGGCTTATGCCCTATGCAATTCCTGACTCTTTTAGAAAGGCACTCCATGAAGCTGTATTTTTTCAAAGCTGCTCACACTGTACAGTGTACATGCTTACTGTATTTTTCGTCATTGTTGTTGCCAATGGTACTCTGTAGTATTTGTCGGCCCTTTTCATTGGGCCAACAATACATCAAAGAAAAATGTAAGCTTCCTTCACGGCCATTTGAGGCTGATCTGTTTGGATTTCTTTCACGATTACAAAGATGTTCATACATGTCCAAGTTGAAATTGGGGTTCATTGTTTCTCTCATATCAGGCTCTCATTTCATTCTGCTTTAAACTTGGTAAGCTTATCAAACATACTGTAATAAAATATAAAAAAAAAGGACTGCATAGGCGGGCAATTATATGAAAAGGTTTCTGAAGTCCCGAACAAAACTTAATTGTATTAGAAATCCAGCATTACTCGAATTTATACATTAAGCTCCTTCAGTGAACATTTAATACAAATACCTTAGTGAATGTCTAGTGTGCTTATTTGTTCAATAAGGGATCATGAGGGGCTTTTGATTCATAATACACTTGTCAATATGTGTTCAATATAATTGTGTAAACAACTTTTGAATATTTAAGGCTTAATTACTACAGTGCTCCTGAAACATTGGTCAAATCTCACTTTACCCTTTTAAAGTCAAAGTGACCCACTTTGCCCTTTTGACCAAGGTTTGATGTTCCACAGTGCCCCTTACCATCAACTCCATCCAAGAGTCTGTTAAGTTTGATGATGTGGCAAGGGTGTTTTAGTCATTTTGTGCATATAGGTCTTTTACTCACCAATTGAGTGGGTGATGTGGCAAAATGGAGCCCACCTCCAGTAAACAACTTTTGAATATTTAAGGCTTAATTACTACAGTGCTCTTGAAACATTGGTCAAATCTCACTTTACCCTTTTAAAGTCAAAGTGACCAACTTTGCCCTTTTGATCAAGGTTTGATGTTCCACAGTGCCCCTTATCATCAACTCCATCCAAAAGTCTGTTAAGTTTGATGATGTGGCAAGGGTGTTTTAGTCATTTTGTGCATATAGGTCTTTTACTCACCAATTGAGTGGGTGATGTGGCAAAATGGAGCCCACCTCCAGCATGGATTAAAATATAATAAACATTATTTACTTAAAAAAAATTAAAATACATACATAAAATTTAAAAATTCTCTCTCTCTCTCTCTCTCTCTTCTCTCTCTTCTCTCTCTCTCTCTCTCTCTGTGCAGGGTGGGTTGTGATGGGGAAAAGGGGCTAGAGGGGCACAGGTTAGGGAGGAGGGGAATGGGTATGGGCTATGTTGCACGGATACGAGTATGAGGACACAGAAACGCGACACGATGACACGAAAAATATCAAAAAATTAGGACACAGACACGACTAGGACACTACAATTAAAATAATAATAAATACTAATAAAATTATAATAATATATATTTAAAAATAATAATTCATACTCAATACTTCAATGTCTCATAATTCAATAAAACAAAATAAAGGACTCATGTTCATCATCCATACATAATAATTAATACACTACAAAATAAAACATAAATGATCTATCCTCTCAATCTTGTTCAAGCATATGTCTTCATTGTTGTTGCTATTAGAAAATAACACGCCTGGAAAGGAAGAGAAGAAGAAAAGGGAAGGAATTCGTGGCTGTTGTGTGCACAAAAGAGATGTGCGGCTG